GCTCGAACCCTTTAACCAAGGGTTCGGGCTCCATGCGCGAGGATCCTTCTCTTTTTTTTGCTCGATTCCTCCCGATGGGTTGTTTTGGCTCCGGTGGTGTTGGTATATCGTCATTATCGTCACTGATACTCGCCATCCAACGTGCACCTGACATGCTGAGACTATGGTTGCCTCATTCGGATGTTTTGGATCGCTTTACCTGGGCAATGTCATTTCGATCAACGCCCACTTATAACATCCATGGACGATGCCCCACGCCCTAAGATGCGATAATGAAAAAGAAAATTATGCTTGATATTTATCAAGCAGTTGCTGCAATAGTGCAAGACGTCTTGATCACTCAAACCGCTCGCACGATTCATTTAAATGTTATTGTAGATATCGGTAAATTTTTGAACTTTTTATTCATATCGCGGAACTTGGAAGCTATAGAGTGAAAAGGCGGTACGAATTTAAGTTCATCCACTCATGGAATTTATTGGTCACTTTAGCTCAAAAGTCATCATTTGTCTTAGCATTTCCTGTACACGAGTGATAATAAACTTGAGAAAAAACAAATATAGAAAAAAATATTAACTAAAAAAAATTAAGCGCACCTTTTCTCAGATCGGTGTAAATGTTAATCCAAGATTTGGCTAACACTTTCTGCTCGGTCATGGTCCAAGATTTTGGAGCACTCCGAGTCGTGTTTAGTCTCCCTTCACATTTTCCCTTCCCTTTTGATTTTTTAGAAGTTATGTTTTGAGCACAACCTCTTCGATATTGTCACCGATATCGTAAGGGACGTCTTGTGTGAGAGCCATTGCAAGCGGTGGCATCATGGAGGTGGTCGGGACGGTCGGGCGCCACTAGTTCTTGAATTGTTGACACTATATTTGTTACTATTCTTAAAGTTGTTGCATTTGGAAAGAACTCGTCTCTTGAGGGTAAGCCACAAATTGGACAAATATTTTGAATGGGAGAGCATAACTTTGATTTTTTGTCAATAAAGTTATTTTGATCTGAATGTAATAATTTTTATTTGATCTGGATGTAGTTATATTTAAAGTTATGTTTGATTGAATCTGATCTATTCTGATTTAAACTGATTCCAATAAAAATAAATTGAAGAGAATAGGTTCCAAATAAAAATTTACTAGGTACCATGTACATGCCATAGACAAATTCTTGATATGCACTTGGTGGTATAAAATAACCAACCGGGCAAAATTGACCGGATCTAGGATAGTTTGCTAAATTTAGAGAATGAAAGATGTAGAAAAACAGAGAATCACTGGTAAGACTGTACGTGGAAACATTTGTAGTCTAATTGTTATTAAGTATATAGAAAAGTACTAGGAGGTATTGCACAATATGCTTTAGAGAGATAAAGTTCGTATTCTTTCATTTGAGGGTTACAAATGTATTTATAAGAGAATGGAGGGGACAGAGCGCCGCACATCCACATCACTCCACATTTTCAGACGGCGCGAGGTGACTTGCTCTTGTCCCGTAGCATTTTGTCTTATTCCCTTGTCAATTTGTGTTGATGCCGCCTCCATTGACGCGTAGCGCCCACCTGAGGATGTTGGAATATTCTCGCAATCTTTCATTGAAATCGGTCATTGCCGTGCAACAGACTTTAGAGCTATTCGTGTCGGCACTTTCACACCATAGTACTTACCTTGAAGGTTCACCGGCTATGCGATCTGAAGGGGCAGAAGACCACCAGCATGAAGTCACGTACACTGACCGATAGGTTTACATTTTGTACCGGTCAGCTTTTCAAACCGACCGGTCATGTATATTTTCGTTTAAGTCTTCCATTCTGATATATTTGAATCTGACTGGTCAGCTGTTGTGGATCCGGATTCGGATCAGATTCAGGGTGAAATACACCCACCAGCACCTTTAAATAAGTCAAATCAGCATTAAATAAGTCAAATTAGCATTTCCTTATTATTGAGATAAAGATTTATGTAAAAAACAAATAAACATTTGGTCATTTGCTTGCTATTAAGATAGAATTTCTTTTGTGATACTCTCTATGTACTAGGGTCGTGGGTTTCCCCCTAAAAAGGCTAGAGATAGTGCAAAAGAAGGACCGTGTTAGGGTGTCACCACATGGGTATTACTATGGGTGCACCCATGCGTCACACAGAAAACCACAGACGATAATTGTCTGTGCGACACAGACAATTAACGTCTGTTTTTGTCTGTGTGAAGCATGGGTGTACCAATGTGGTGGCACCTTAGCATTTTCCAAAAAAATTGCCTAATAAAGATACCAATACACTTAAGGGTTATAAGAATACTAAACAACTTATCAACTCTCAAAAAGGAATGAGCAAACGAATCAAACTTCGGGCCATTTCTGTTACGAAGTTTGGTTAACTTTATTTTCAATTCAATTTAATTGATTGAAGGTGTAAAATTAAAAAATAAATTTATATGTTTAAAACTATATCAAAACTTCTATAAAACAAGAGATGACAAAAAAATATATTTTATTACTCCCTCCGTCCTAAAACTTTTTCCCAGAGCATTATTTCAACTTTACGGGAATTTATATTTATTTGTATTTTTTCATGGCCTATATGATAAAATAAAATATTCTTGTCACTACTTGTTTTGTTGAACTTTTGATATAGTTTTTAAATATGTATGTTTTATTTTTTATTTGTGTACCAATATTTAAATAAAATAGATTGAAAAAACTTGGGATTTTTCTTCGTTTTGCGCAACGAGAAGAAAGTTTTAGGACGGAGGGAGTATCAAATAACTAACAAAAAAAGTAAATATATTTAAAAATAACATCTAAAATCTAAGGATCAAGATGTGACCATATTATAGATGGTGAGATTGATCCACCAAATATGAAAGTACAAAAAATATAAATAAAAATAATACTCCCTCCGTCCCAAATTATAATACTTGTTTACTATTCACAGGGTCAAACTTCATTCACTTTCTTTCTATATTTTCGTTAGCAATTTGATAAAATAAAATATTATTGTCACTATTAGTTTTGTAGATCTTTTGATGTAGTTTTTTAATATGTAATTTTTATTTTTTAATTCTATACCATTTGTCATATAAAATGGTTTGAAAATAATTTCAGTCAAACATCGTAAACCGAAACAAGCGTTATAAAATGGGACGGAGGTAGTAATAAACTCTTAAAATAATAAATGCTTGACATACAATGAAGATTTCACTCTCTATTTATAATATAGATTTCACTCTCTATTTATAATCATGTACTACTTTCTTGGCATGACTGATCTAACGTGCCTCAATTTTGCATGGAGAATCGGTCAACAATTATTCACGATCAATGGGATGAGCCGCTCCGCTCATTTAATGATTCGGACCACATCCCAACTCTATACCACACCTCCCTTTACCTGATCTGAATTCCGATTGGATCTTTATATTTAGTTGGGCCTAATATAATATTGGGATAAATATCATATTGAGTCGACTCTTCCGATTTACCAAGGCCCATATCTATCATTAGTATTGTTTTAAACGAATAAAAAAATATACAAAAAAAGTTTAAAAATTAACCGTGTAAATTAGACAACTTCAATTAGCAACGATTAATTCACCAAGAAAAATTGGAATTGGGTGATGAATTAGACACGACTTTTTAAATAATTTTTAAATATAAAAATTTTATTCTCTTCATTCCTAATTCGATTATAATTTTTTTCTCCTCTCGATAACTTTTACGGAGTACTTTTTTATGTGATTTTATTAAGTATTCCTTCCGTCCCATGAAACTTTTCTCCTTTCTTTTTTTATCCGTTCCACAAAACACTTCTCATTTCTATTAAGAAGTCACTTTTACCCCTTACTTTTTCATACCCTAACTATCACATCATACTTTTTTACTACTTCGTAATAATCTATCCATCAAATCATACTTTTACCCATCACATCAAAGAACATTTTTGGAAATTCAATATCAAAATACACTCCCCTTAAATCCCTCCTAAAAAGCAAAAGTCTCATGTTTCATGGGACAGAGAGAGTATATAATAAAATAAATATACAAATACTTGCTGAATGTGTTTAAAATTCTTCATTGGCTTCGTCTGACAATAATATTAGATTTTAACACAAGTATTATTTTTAGCCTATATTGTTGACATTTTCAGAATTAATCTAGCACAATAAAATTTTCTTCAAAATAATAACAAGAGCATTTGGAACAAAGCCATTAGCATTACCCACCCAAGTTAATAAGAATTGAACATAAACAATCGGTCACAATCTGGACCCTCAATGGGCTTTTTTTGAAAGTCAAAGTGAAAAGTCGCATTGTTTGAACATTTTCCACACTCCTTTACCCCCTCTACCTACAATACATTACTCCATATTTAATTAGTGTTCACAAAATACCCTTGTCAATGCTATTAGCACATTTACACTTTTTGGTATCCTCCACATTAAATTATTCTATTTATTATGTTTCCAAATAACTTTTCAATGTCATGAAATGACCCAAGAGCACATTGGTGTCTCGTTCGTAAAATTAATGATTCCTACCCTCCCTAACCCCCGGTAACCCTCTCTACCCCGCTCCAAACCAAAACACACTCTCCTACCTCCTTCAATTACATCCCACAACTTGATTTAGATTTTGGAGTTAAAATTTGACTTCAAAATCAACTTGTGAAGTACAATTGAAGGGAATGGAAGGGGTTTTTGGGTCGGGCAAGGTGGAATTGAGAGGTACCGTCAATTTTACGAACGAAAAACCTAGAAATACTCCCGAGTCATCTCATGTAATCGATTCTTAATGTCATGGGAACTTTGCTATAAATATTATTTTATATATTCTGAAATTGGGTGAAAAATAAATCCACCTCTAATTACTTCAAATGATTACGATTAGTTTTTTTTAAAATTCCAATCAAAACCATTATGGATTTATGGCACCTCAACAAAGTCTCAATAAACTGCAGTGGGTAAACATGTAAATATACTTTTTTCCCTAGGCTAAATTTGAAATCACGTGTACCCTTAGGCACCGTGGTCTGGAAAACAGGGGATGGGTTCCCTCGCCTGAGACGGCGCAAATTATAGAGCCGCGCGAGCCGGCGGTGTAAAACCTCCGCCGTAACTGTACTTCGCGGAGAACGTTCAACCGCCTCACGAGTCATCGGATTTGGACATGATTGACAACCGACTAGGCCGCGGCTGGAAGTCGGTACGGCGGCGGAGGCTGTGCGACGACGGCCGAATTAGGGCGGCGAGGGCTCGCTTCACCAAATCACCCTCCACGGTGCCGATCCTCACCAGAGAATTCTTCATCGCCGACCGCCGCATGTTCAACTGGCTCGACAGGTACTGCGTCTGCTGGTGGCCCGCGAATTGCGTTCCCTTGTGAAGGCTGCACCGGAACGATCCGGGATGAGTCGTCGGAGAACACATGCACGTCTTCTTCTGATTCGGCGGGAACGTGCGGCGGCTGTTCTGCCGCTGCTGTCTGGGAGTCACCACAATCGAACGGTCGGAGGATGTGTAGAATCGGACGGACGGCGACGGCGAGACGGATCGGCGGAGATTCACCCGGGTCGGGGACGCGGAGCGATCCATTACACCACCGGATCGTCGGGCCGCGAAGGCCGACGACGGCGATGATATCGACGATGAACAGAACCGATCGGACGGCGAAACTGATCGCTGGAATTGATGGCTGAATCCTGAAACGTTCGATTTGCTTCTAGAAGAAGACGAGGCCATTGATTGATTTTACCAGGAGAAAAGAGAATCTGGGAAAATTAAAACCAAAAAAGAAAATAGAAATTTAATTTATTTAATCATTTAAATTAAATAAAATCTCAGATTCAGAAAGAGGAGAGAGAATTTTACAGCGCCGTTCGGCTGGAGAATTCGGCAAACTTCAGACTAACTGATACACGAGTTATATAGGGGAAGCGAAGAGTGGCACTCACGTAATTACGCCAAACATCGCGGGCCTTTCGGGTTACTTCAAGATGAGAACAAAAGGCGGTTTTAGGGTTTTCCAGTGGGTTGAACCGTTTTAAAAGCCCAAATGCCGTGGGCTCTGCAAAGCAACGGTCATATCTCACGCTCTCCCATCCGCGTTTCGGCCACGCTCCTCGCGCGGGCTCGGCGCGTGCGGTTGACGGACTGTACTGAGGGCTGGGGAAGGCGAAAGCGGAGAGAAAAAACAAAGGCGCCTAATTTGGCGCCACATTTGGTCAATACAATTGCGTGGACTCGTTTTTGGTGTGACACGTGTATTTTATTTGGCGTTTTGCAGTGTGACCAAAATGTCCTCGACAAAAAACGTTCACTTTATTTTTTAACTGGGCGCATCATCATAGGCTTTTGGTTTGGTGAATGGTAAGTATACAACTGTAAAGTGTGAGTAACTTTATTCGTATTTAATACTCCCAACTGGACTTTTTTTTAATACTCCCTCCGTTTCAAATTATTTGCAACATTTCGAACAACGTGCAAAATATCATCTTTTTTAAAAAGTACATGAAAAGTTCTACAAAATAAGATGCGACAAGAATATTTTATTTTATCAAATGGCCAACCAAAACGAGTAAACAAAAAAAAGTTATCGAGAGACCAGAATAGTAACCATGACATTTTTTCTGGGACGGAAGGAGTATCAACATTCACTAGTCACCACTTGATTTTGATAAGTTTTTAATTTCTTGGTCTGATGCGTGGTGGTACCTCTGTCATACTCTTTCATCTTTAAAATATTGCTATAATTTAATTTTTTGGTTAAGTTGTAGAACCTTTTGATTATAAATTAAATATAATATAAAATAATGAAATAGTATAAAAATTTAATATTTTAAAACTATATTTTGAAATTAAACTTAATTTAAATATTATTTTTTCATAATTCGTGTTCAAAAGGTACCACAGTTTGACCAAAAAAATTAAACTGTGACTATCTTTTAGAAATAAAGAGAGTAATAATTTCTTTACAGTTATTTTCTTTGTTTCAATTTAAATACTCTGTTATTGTTTACTATCTTCGTCTCAATGCATCCAATTTGGCTTTTATGACTCAAACTAGACAAATTTTGAGTTTCATTTATTCTAAATTTGTATTACACATTAGTATAATGAAATAAAATTTTAAAAGTTCTTAATAAGATATTTGACGAGCTTATAAGTACAGAGAAATCACTGTTTGACAAAAAAAATAACACAAGAAGGATTTTTACATTGGGAAAGTGTAATTGAGAATTTCAACTTTGGAATCATGCAATGGAGGATTGCACTAAAGTGTTATAGCTTCGCTACTTCTTGATTGTCAGAGCAATGCTCGAAAAGAAACTTTGTTAAAAAGTGAGTCACTAAAAGACTCCTTAGATTATACTCCCTCCGTCCTTGAAAATCATTCTCCTTTTTTTCATTCGTCCCAAAAAATACTTCTCGTTTTTATTAAAAAGTCACTTTTACCCCTTACTTTTTTACACCCTGCATATCATATCATATCTTTTTACTAATAATCTATCCATCAAATCATACTTTTACTTATCACATCAAAGAACATTTTTGAAAATTCAATACCAAAATACACTTCCATTAAATCCCTTTTCAAAATCAAAACTCTCATGTTTTCCGGGACAGAGTGAGTAATTAGTTGTCTAGCACATTAGTACATCATAGATTTGTTTTTTAGGATAAAATATGTATCAAAATATGTTGACATGAAACTATGTTAACTCTGACTAATAAAAGAGATTGTTGAAAACATTTCAACCTAAGATGCCCAATAAATTTTCCAAATGGCCACTTCCCTTGCAGAAAGCCTTGAGTTCGAGTTGTGTGTAAGAGCAAACATCGTACACTAATTCGTGCGGATAACTAGAATAAAACGTTCACCCTTCCAAAATTTTAAGAGAGTTAGGGGCTGTTTGGCAACTTCTGAATATGTAAGTGCTGAACCAGTAAGAGGTCTGAACCATTAAGAGCTAGTATATTGCTTAACTATTCAGAGGCAAATGTCTGATCAATTCAGATAAGAGGTCTTAACCATTCAGACTCTGTATAATAATTAACCATTCAGAGGCAAATCTCTTAACCATTCAGCCATCTGAACCATTAAGAGGCTGAAACCAACAGTCTGAACCATGAACCATTCAGACATCTGAACCATTAAGAGGCTGAAACAAACAGCCCCTTATAGTATAAATGATAATCTCTCACACTAAAGATTAATCTTTTGTGGAAGATCCTGAATTCGAGTCACTGTATAAAACAGATAAAATTAATAAATCTTCAATCCTCTAGGCTCTAATATGAACTCTCTTTTTGGACCAATTACAAGTGTCTCGCTCCCAACGGCTTTGTGAGAGCTCAAATAGTCAAATCTATCGAGAACTCAATGCTAATATAATTTAGTAGCTCAACCCACAAAAACAATTAAAACTCACCAATCAATATGAGAAAAAGAACAATCCTTCAAACAAAACTACATTAGTATATTTTAGAAAATTTACATCTAAAATCTTAAAAGTGATATTAGAACTTTAAGATTTGTCCATTTTAGATTGCATAGAGATGACATCCAAAGAAACTCTCAATTTGTAACTTTAATGTGATTGATGAACCTTAAGTTCATGTCTTGAGTACTCCCTCTGTCCCTCTCGGTCTTCCAATTTTAACTTGCACATTCAACGTTTTGAAACTTGGACCACAAATTGCAAAAACATACATGAAATTGTGACTTAAATTTAATATCAGTATGTTTATCTTGAAATATAGATTTGAAATATCATGTGTTTATATTATATATCTATATATAAATAAAGATATCAATGGACAAAATGTTGCATTGGAGACCACACAAGTCAATATTGGAAGAACCAAGAGGAATGGAGGGAGCATTTTCTTTCTATTTAGCAAGCAGTTTCGAGTATAAAATTCATGTACTTACAGTTTTATGATAAAAATTGTTTTATAAAATGTTGGTAATTAAGCGTAACACTTTTGAAAAAAAAGCATTTCAACACCAAAATGTTCTCAAGTGTTTTCTGTCAAACAAAACAATTACAATTTTTGACTTGTCGGACATGCTCTTCACCTAAGTGTTAAAAGTGAACATATTGCTCAACATGTTGTCTCCTAAACATGACCTACATACTTATTACAAGTACTCCCTTTGTCTTTAAATGTATATGACATGACACACAAAGAAAATTTATTTTTGTGAAAGTCATTTTTCATTCATTTAAACAACAGTATAGAATTTATATTTAAGAACTACATCAAAATTTCTACAAAACAAAAAGTTACTCGAAATCATAAAACTAGACTCAAATATACACGCCAAATTTGGTACAAAAATGGAAAGTGGGGTCTCACTTTGTGCACCTGTAGTAGTTAATCAGCCGAGTTTTTCCCGTTGCGCGGGTGCAGTGTGTGAGTCTTCAACGTGCCTCGTGAGCAATGAAATGCCATGATGCGATGCACTTGACGCAGCATAATATGACGTTACTGTGAGCTGTGTAAAGTTTGGAAGAACATAACCTGCAATACAGGTACTCAAAATTAGAACAAAAGAGATATAAGCAGAGAATTAATACGAAAACTCAGCAGATTCAAGCATTACAACAACCTAGTTGAACCCCACACAAGTAGGCTTTGGGGAGGGTGAGTGTAAGCAGACCTTACCCCTACTTGAAAGTAGAGAGGCTATTTCCAAAGACTCCTCGCTCAAGCACCACCGGTACCCTATGTTTAAAACATAGAGCCGTTGTTTCGGGAAGACCTATGATGAGCGTCGAAAGTTTCTTTGACTAACTCTTACTTCGCTATAAAAAATATAGATTCGAGCACTCCAGTATAAAAAATATATTTTAAAAAAACTTAGAGAATGGCCGCATATAATAAGTCTAAATATTTGTAGGGAAATAAATATGCAGTGTTTTACTACATCAAAGGTCTGTCTTTAGTCCTTTCATGTTTTCCTTCGTGGTGCCGTGGTGGATGTTTTACCTGCTTGAGGACATGCTATTTGCGGACGACATTATTTTGATTGACGAGACACGTGAGGGACTAAATGTTAGGTTGGAAGTGTGGAGACAGACCTAGGAATCCAAAAGTCAGATTAAGTACGACTAAGACTGAATACGTGGAATGTTGCTTCAATGGTTTGACAACTGAGTTAGAAGTAGAAGTGCAGATTGATACGTATTCAGTACCCTTGGAAGTTGGATCTATCATTCGGGCTAATAAGATCGATGGAATGTTTTTCACCACATTGGAGCGGTTTAGATGAAGTGGAACCTTGCTTCCAGTGAACTATGCAACAAGAGGATATCAACGAAAGTAAAAGAAAAGTTCTATCGAACAATGGTCGGACCGACTATATTATATGGAGCACAGTGAGTGGCGATAAAGAACACACGCATTCAAAGGCTTAGAGTATAAGGAATCAGGATGCTGAGATGGATGTGATGTCATACAAGGATGGACAGGTCTGGAACGAAGATATTCAGGTGGTGCGAGTGGTTTCTGTGGTGTATAAGATGTGTGAAGCAAGACCGAGACAGGTTGTCGCCATTAAAGATAAGTACGGATGCTCCAGTGAGGAAGTGTGAGGGGATGGACATAGGGGCGCGTGAGGAAATACACCAAAAGGCATAAAGAGAGTTGGGGCAATGTGATTAGACATGATTTACGAGTTCAATAGTTAATCGAAGATATATCTTAGATATGAGCTCCTGGAGGTCTATACCATTGTGTAGAAATTACTCTCGCAGATTTTTTTTTCTTTTACATGTTTTTTTCTTCTTCTGCAACCTTTTATTTTGAGCTGGGGTTCTCACAGAAAGAATCTATCTACTTTCCAACTAAGAGCAAAGTACCCTCTCCAAACTCCACTCTATGAGATTTTAGAGGTTTTGTTGTATACTCCCTCCGTCCGGTATTAAAGTTTACGTTTTGACTTTTGGTCATTTTTAAGGGAGGTTGACTAACCATGTGAAATGACCAAAAATGCCCCTTTCCAATCTCCTCCTAACCGACTGCTCAAAATCGGAGAACCCTATTGAAGAAACCTGGAAGTTTCCTCTCCCCCCTCAAATCATTCCTCATCACCCAAAACCGCCACCCACATCTCGTCCTCAATCGTCCGTCCTCACCACCAATTCGAGAAGCAAAAGCTTTGATTTGGCAATCTGGATCGAGTAGTTGGCCTTGCTCCGGTCATCGGAGAGCGTGGCCGACTCCATTGACTGCTGGATTTCATCGACGGCACGCAAGTACAGGTCGGCCTCTTTCCGGTCACCGCCGAAGATCATCTTCTCTCTTCAGACGCAGTGGAGTCCCACCGGAGGATTATCTGATTCGCGAAATCGTAAGATGCGGGTAGGGGGGAGGGGAAAAACAGATGAAGGTCGGGAGAAAGAAAAGAAGAATGAAAAGCAAGAAGAAGAAGAGGATGGACGGGGAGAGAGGATTGAAAAGGTATAGATCTGGCGGATGGGAGAAAGAAAAAGAAGAGAAGGGGAACGAAGGAAGGAGAGGAGGAAGGGGAGAGGGAGAGAGATATTGAAATGGTAGAGAAGGGTATTTTTGGAAGAGTATGGGTTAAAATTAGAAATGTAAACTTTATTTTCGGACGGAGAAAAAGGAGAAACGTAAACTTTATTTTCGGACGGAGGGAGTAATTTTTTACAAAAAAAACACCAGACCCTTCTGAAAAGTGAAAAGGTGTTTACATCAAGAGTTCAGGTGAAAGAAAATGTATCCAAAATTGCCTCTACTCCAAGATAGCTTGTAGTACAAATTGTAAAGAGTGGAACTGGAGAGTCCTAAGCCCTAACGACTAATGCTACAACGCAGCACTCAAGCAAGCCTTAGATTTAAACAAAAAATGCTAGCATAAAGCTGCTGCACTCCAAAAAGTTCTAAAAAAGTAGTTTGGATATCTAATAAGGAGGAAGCATACCACCAAATGCTGCACTAGCTGCAGAGAACATCAGAAGTGGGGGAACCTGCATAGAAAATTCCATAAGGAAAAGCAAAAAAGAAAAGACGTTAAATTCAGTTGACATAGACAAATGAAGCAGCATTAAACTATATGCCAACAAAGCAAGCTCATGATAGAATGAAGCACAAAACAGCATTATGAGTACCCCTATGACAAAAGGAAGCCACTTTGGTCCCTTAACACACTTCTGAACAAAAGGGATACCTGAAATATAGTTGTTCAACTGAATTTTAATATGAACATGACTCAAAAGAAACAAATAGAGGAGAGGAAGGCAATGGATGACTGCAAATTGTAATCATGCCTGTGTTCAAGCCATAGACTGTGCTAAGCATTCCACCCATTACAGAGCCAGCCTATTGAAAGAATATATGAGATATAAAAACAAAAAAATAAACACAATAAAGTCTGATAAAAGAAAAACATGGAACCAAAAGTTCTAAAATGATCATAATATGGAATTGAAGTGAAATGACATTTTCTAGGCCCTCCTAAGTGTAGCATCATAATGAACTAGGTCAGGCCATAGATAATAGGTTTTAGCATTGACATTCTCAATTCACAATTTTCACATGGAACATGTATGCTAGTCCAACCTCTCCTTCTTCCTCAATTTGACACACCCAGGTCACTAGTAGAACTTAGCAAGCTCATATGCCAATCTTAAAAGTTTTTTTTATATAAATTTTCTCGGGAACGTTTTATTCTACTAAAAAGAAATGAGTAATAGATATTTTACAACCATTTTCTTGGCCCAGCTCATTGTCCATTTATCAGTAATTTTATTCCCTTTTCCAATCTCTGGTGTCTTATGTCATCTGGATTATAAGACATAACTGTGATAAAGGTTTAGCAGCCATATTATTCAAAAAATGCAACAAATCATCAGAAAATTTTACTCGTATTTAATTGCTATACGAATTACGGAGTATTTTTTCAATGATATGGGTCAGTATCAGACTAAGTAATTTGCCTAGATTGAACAAGTACAGAGCATATCAAATAAACACCTACAAGTCTTAGATGAATTTCCGTCTCAATCCATTCACATCAAGAACATGGAGAAGTATTCAATACTCTATAATAGATGGCTATGATACAATTTACAGATATTCCCAGAAACACAAAGTGAAAATTAAAAAAAAAATCACATAATAATTAGGCTGGGTGAATTAAGCTCCAATACATAAAAAATACATCCCAATCTACGAACAGAGAGGAAGAAAATGGCCTACCACAACAGTGAAGTCGTGTAGAACCGGTGTGATCGCCCATTCCTCGTTATCCTGCACCCCACATCATATGAATTCAATGAAGCCGTTCACAAAAACAGTTTATAATCTAAGAGGATATTCATCAAACGCTTCTAATACGAAAATTAACTTGTAATTAAGAATCGCGCATAAGTGAACAGAAAGAAGAAGAAGAAGAAGAAGAAGAAGAAGAAGAAGAAGAAGTGAGGGAACATACAGAGGAGGGGTTTAAGAGAGACAAACAGCGAGGACAGCGAGCAGAACCGAGGCCAGGATTGATAGTCGGATCGTGATAAAGATTCCCCGTTCTCAGCCGCTCTTCGTAAACCTCCCGAGTCCCCATCGCCGCAAGCCGCTGAAATCTCCGACCTCCTCCTCCTCTCTCTCTCTCAGAGCCGAGAGAATTGCTTAGCAAAAAAACACAAGCTTTGGCTAGTCCCTGAAATAGCTTTTGTTTTTTAATTTAGGAAAAATTACCCAAAATAATCCGACCGGTCTTTTAAAAATAATCTCACCTTTTACTGTGATGCATAATAATCCCAACTTTACGGAAATTTGCCAGTTTTGGGTCGCCGTTAAGTTTCTAACGGAGGGTTAACGGAAATGCCCGTTTTAGGCAACAAAATGAAAGTTGGGATTATTTTTGATGAATTTTCATTTTTTTTTATTTTTTTTTAAATTTTTCTTTTAATTTTTTTAATTACTTTCTACCTTCATCATCATTTCTTTTTCTTTTTTTAAAGATTAGTCTTAGTTTAAAAAATAAAAATAATAGATATAAAAATGAAAAAAATGAGATATGTAACTAAAATGATACAAAAATAATAAAATAAATAAGGTAATCAATGGAAACTAACTTGAAATTGGTAAAAGTAAAATAAAAATATACAGGTGGGTTTTAATATTTTACGCATTATACAAAGTATTAACATATCACTTCTTATTTTTTAGAAAAAATTATCTAAAATAATTCCAACTTTACCGGACGGCTTGTTCTTTTAAAAAATAAGTAGTACATTAAGACCCCGTATAATGTGTAAAATATTAAAACCCACCACTCCGTATATATTTATTTTATTTCTTACCAGTTTCTATTTAATTTCTATTGATTACATTATTTATTTGATTAATTTTGTGTGGTTTTAGTTATTTTAGAGTAAAAGTAATAAAAAATATAGATAAAAAAAGATTCCATAGAATAATCTTTAAAAAAGAAAAAGAAATGGAGGTTGAAAGTAATTCAAAAAATTTAAATAAAAATTTCAAAAAAAATTAAAAAACAAAAATTCATCAAAAATAATCCCAACTTTCATTTTGTTGTCTAAAACGGGCATTTCCGTTAACCCTCCGTTAGAAATTTAACGGCGACCCAAAACTGGCAAATTTCAATAAAGTTGGGATTATTATGCATCACAGTGAAAGGTGAGATTATTTTTGAAAGACCGGGTAAAGTTGAGATTATTTTGGGTAATTTTTCCTTTAATTTATTTGTTTTAATTTAAGTTACATATTTACTATTTATATAATTAAATTATAAAGTCTCTTTATAATTTAGATATGAACTCACAAAATAATGTTTTTACATAATTTAAAGTTGAGTAAAATTAAATTAACTTTATATATTTTTTTACAGAATGAAAAATATAGTTACAAACTAAGATATTTAGAATTCAGATCATACAAATGAAATTAAATTTATATTTCGAAACGTGGATAGATATTCAATCTTAAGTAGTAAATATAAAAATTTGATAACATTTTAAAATCTAAACAAATAGAGAAAATGTTGTTGTCCACTATTCGCTAGAGCTGGTGTAGTGTTGGACTTCCAGTCTGATGAAGTCGAGGAGACAAGTGGAGTGTGTGTGACATTTAATTAACAAGGAATGTTGGTGGATGACTTAAAATACGATCTGAGTTTTAATACTTTTACCATTATTGAGTCGCTAAATTGTAAAGATTTGTATTTTTTTCAAAAAGACAATCAAGTAAATTGATCTAATTTGAAATTTAATTTGACCCTAAGGATTTTACAATATAATATGTATAAAATTGGTAAATACGTTTGGGGTCAAAAATACGTGTATTATACATTCATCACATGAAAAATTCATATTCGAGAGTATAATTAGTGTATCATACGTATGGGTATAAAATACGTATATTATACACGAATAAGCTAACAAAGTTTGAGACAAATGAAGTATATGATAGTTTGTCATTCGTCATTAATTAAAATAAAACCTTTATTTTTCAGATCAGGTCGAACCGAATAATAGACGGATTCTTCGGATCGAATATTCTTGAACACCCCTAGTAATAGTAGTAGATTTTGGGTGCAAATCCAACATGACTAACAAGCTATGAGAGCTAGTGTAAATTTGTATTTTTTTCCAGACGATTGTTATCCGTAATATAATCGTGATGTTTTTCTAACCAAACCAAAAATTGCAAATTGTATCTTACTCAAATTCACAACTCGGACACGCATGCCGCAGTAATATCTTATACAAATTCACGGACAATTGTCATCCGTAATATAATCATGATGCCTTTTCCAAGTTATATATAGACATTGTTTGGAAAGAGCGTATTCAATTAGCGTTTGTATTTTTTCTAAAATTTTAACGGTGTAAATTAATTCTAAAAATATTAAAACTAAACGATATGGTTAGATAAGACGTCACAAGTGAGATAGGAAGTTGCCGAGTAATTTACCAACATATGTACCAAAAAAAATATTCATTCTGGACAGTGTAAGTCAGACATTTTTTTCCTGGCAGTGCATGACGGATTTGGCTACTCCGTTTCAACTTAAAAATTTTAAATGAAACGGAGTAGCCTAATCCATTTCACTTTATTTTTTTTAAAAAAAACCTCAGACGGATTAGCCTACTTCGTCTTACCAATTGCTCGTAAAAAACAAAGCTTACCAATCCTCCTATATACAATGGTAAGAGGACCTTATGAATAGTGTTCCCTCCATTTTCTCCTCCATCCTTTGGGCCGGGCTGAGCTGCTAATATTGGGCCGAATTTAGTCATCCTCTCTTGGGCATGCGACTGACAATTTTACGGGGCTGCGGACCAACTTTATTGGGTTGCGGTTGGCGGCTGTGCGTGGCTCCATAAAGTGAAATAATAATGCTTTTCATCTATGCTTTCCATCTAATCAATTTAATGGTTAGATTTACACAATCCAAGCATTTAATGTGCTTAAACGAACACTTTATGGGTAAGTGTAAACTTACTACTTTATGGGTATGTGTGTTGCATGGAGCCACACACCATAAAGTAAGTTACCCTTTATCTCAAATCAGCATTTATTAAGGTGATTCTACAAATCTTTTTTGCTATGGTAAAAGTGACGATCTTACAAATCTCTTTTTTTGCACCAAATGTATCATTTAAATACAAAAAGTGAAGATCTTGCAAATCTTTTATCATTATTACTATGAATAATTAACTTGATTCACCAATTTTTTAAAAATATCTGCTTACACCAGAACACAGTATAAATACGAAGTACATCTTGGGTACTTTCCAGTCTTGCCTCCGCCCTTCAGGTACTTATCTCCACCTTGAAACCATATTAATATCTTTAATAATCTTTGCAAATACTTAAATTGTAGTAGTAAAATCAGCCCGAAAAATACATTCAACAATATTTCATGCAATAAAAGTTTGTAGCATTGCAGTGAAGAACAAAATCATCCATGAAGGTAGTTTGACAAAATCATGCCCCGGAGTATAAGTTTATCATTCAAAAGGTTTGAAAGAGGATTTTTTACTTAAATCTTAGAAACAGTTTGAGCAAAAACATTCAAATAAGAAGAGGAAAGCATAAGAGAGTATTTTTGAAAGATCAAAGCATACATAATGAAGCGTGCCGATTAGTTCAACTAATGCATACATTTGCAATGCACACATATGCAGATGGGCCATTATGTACGGGCATATAAGAGGTCTATAATGAACTTTTTGATGTGTTAAACTTAAAAGCATTGAAAGAAAGCCACTCTTGAACCCAAATTAAAAAACATTTACAATTACATTAAAGTTGGGGACACTAATTGAGCCAAACCCTGAGGCAAAAAGATTTGTTCCAGAAAATATTAATAGCTACATGTTTCCTAACATATTCAAAAGGGCATTGGATATGACTTCATCACAAGGATTCAAAATAAAAAATAAGATTAAGAGTCATTGCCTTTAAGTCAGGCAAAAAGGATAAAAGTCTGAGTTAAGCCATGCAAACAGTTCATGAATTGAAATAAGGAGTCATTACCTTTACTGTGAATATTTTTAATATTTGATCTGCTAATTTAATTTCCATTCTCAAACAAATCTATACCAATTTTATAATTTAAACTTTTTTAGGGAAAATGTGCTATGCATGTGAAAAATACCCCAGTAGATTGAAAAAAGAATATCAAGATGGAATAAAAAGAACTAAAACACAAGCAAAGTGCAATCCTTTAGAACAAAAATACCTTCCAAACAATAAATGCGTTTTAAAGACTTTAAAGAAATTTCTATTAAATCATAATAAGATATATGGTAGATTCATATTGATGTCCTAACATCTCCGTAGAAGGCAAAAAAACATTCAGATTCAAGCGTTATATTTTGATGTCTAATTTTTTTAAGATCTGAGCACTTTAAGACTCAATCTTATATTTTAGCCCAAAGTTAAAAATTCGATTCATTTGAGAAAATAGTTCAAATGATTGTCTTCATGAATCTACTAGAAAATAAAAAGATTTTCTATGTTAAATCCTCCCGGATCCGAGAGAAAGGATTACCAGAGACAAACGGCGTGAACATCTAGCCAGTCGATAGACGACCTTCTTGGAGACGACCACCATCTCTACATCTCATCCAATATCAGATCAAAGAACATGACTTCTAGATCGACGCTAGGAGAAAAGAGACACCACACTCTTAAGAGATAAGAGCGGCGCAAACGATAGAGAATGGGATTGAGGAATGGCGATAATTGGGAGCGGGGTAGATGGGCTCATCCGGTTAGGTTAGCACCGTTTATCTAATCCTTTATATTCCACCCATTATGAAGCTCTTACTAATTTAAGTTGTTTATTTGATTACAATATTTTATTAAACTTATTTTACTATATCAAACAAATAACAAAAATGAGTAAAAACATGATTAAAGTTTGATAATATAAATGATAAACAGTCAACTTAACTTGAGACGGTAATAGTAATAAATTTGATTCAATAAATTTAATTCGTGAGGTTTTAAAATACTAAATTCGTGATGAAAAACAATTACTAGATCATACAAATAATATTGTAAGACGTTTCCAAACTTTAATAATCTCTCTACCTAAATTTGATTACAAATTGAGATTTACAAGGTAAAACGATGAATTTTTTGAAATCACTTTATTTACAAATTTTTTACATCAATAAAAAATATATATTTAAAAAGTACATCAAAAGTTCTAAAAAATAAGAAGTAACAAAAATATTTTATTTTATTAAATAATCAAC